GCCAGCGATGAGGCAGGGAGCGCGGCAGTGCTCGACGAAGATGAGGACGAGCCCGACCGCGAGCCAATCGAATTGCTCAGGAAGGCGCGTTTCCGATCCATCAAGTGCAACAGAAACTGCGACAAGGCATGCCACATGACGTCGAGCCAGCGCGGATTGAACAAACCGGCAGCCGTCCAATGAGAGACAACAGAGTGCGCCATGTGAAAGACATACTCGACACGCCAGACCTCGTAGACTTCGAATGCAGCGTCAGCCACGACCTCCACGCCAAGCCCCACAAGGAGTTTGCGGATGCTCTTCCAAATGCCATCAAACTTGACGTCGTGGACAGCGTTGGAGACATTCACGAACGACTTGTAAACTTGCTCGCCAAACGGGTCGTCTGGGGCGAGATCCGGATCGCCATTGTTCCGATCAAAACCGGCTGCGGAGCCGAAGGCAGGCGGGGGATTGCTGCCGAGAATGTCCTCAATGATTGGATCGGCGTGGTGCATCCGGGTGCTCGTGTTTGAGAGCTGCCACGAAACAGTCGAAAAGCTCCAGCTTTGCTCGGACAAGGGCCAGGACTGGGCGAAGGCGGTGCGACGGCTGTTGTGCGCAGTAGGATTTGCTGCAGCCGCGGCGGCGGCAGCTGCTGCTTGTCGATCCCGGCGATGCACCACGCGCTCTCCCGTTTCCAAAAGCAACTTGTGAAGATGGTACAGACGCGGAAGCATCGGACTCCACTTGAAGATGGAGTCGATCAACGGCGGGGCCGAAATGTATGCATGACAAAACTGCAGGATGAGGCGAATCATCTTGGCAGACACGCGCGAAAGCGGATGCTGCGTGTAAAGGGGCAACAAATCCCCGACGAGATGCCAGCCGTCGACGCAAGTCACGGGACCAATCGTCAAGAGCGACTTGAGCATCGTCGGGTTGCGAATGTCCAGCGTCACAGTGGCAGCAAGGCGCGCGACCTCTTGTTCCAGCTGACTCTTTGACTCTGAGCCAGCATTCGCAGCTCGCAGCAAGAGCACAATGGCCTGCGAGCAGGCCGACATTTCAACGCGCTGTCTTGCGCAAGACGACGTCGTCGACAGAGGATTGCTCGTCGAGCCGTTGCTGGACAGCGGAAGGGCTGTTGCCGGCGGCGAAGGGAGCATGAAATCGAGGAGGGCTGCATCGACCAAGGCTACAATCTCCATGTGTCCTGGCTGGCAACGGGCAGCCGAGTTGACTGAAAACCCGCGAATGGCAGCGTTCAACGCTTCAACATACACTGAACCCGGCAAATTGTCAGGAAGGGCGGCAGTGATGGAACTCGGGACGGCTCCCCCCGCTTTCGAAGCGGACGCAGAGTGCGGATGGAAGCAGCTGAGCAGGGCGGCGATCGCGTCGATATTCCACTTTCGCGAAGCATCGAGGAGTGCACCTTGGAGCACTGTCGCAAACTCTTTCGTTTCCGTGACTGCCTCCAACAGGGCGATGCCCTGCTGCAAGCGGAAGATGAGGCTTTGGATGGCTGACTTGGAGGTGAGGCGCGTGACGATGCTTCGGAAGCTGGCCGACAGGACAGCCAAAATGGCTCGATCCCGCTCGGCGTGCAACACGAGTCGGCCAGCATCCCGGCCCGACGCTCGCAGGCCTTGGAGATCGTTGGTGAGCAAGCGCACGTGACGCTTTGAGTGCAGATTGTCCGTTGTCATAGCAGGGACGGGAGCCTGCGCGGTTGGCGCTGATGCTGCTGCGGTGGTGGAAGATGATGGCACGGACGCAGGGACGGGCGAGTGTGAGCGAGATCGCGGTGACGGCGACGCCGAACGAGAGCGAGGACGCTTTGCTGCTGGAGAAGGGGCGGCAGGCGCTGTGGATGAAGCGGCATTGCTGCTGATCGCTTGCGGTCGTCCAGATCGCGATGGAGTTCGCGGTGACGAAGATGGAGCGTGGCTTGCCGGTTGTCGCATCGGTGAACTGGCCCGTGGGGCCCGCATGCTGCCAACTTGCACGTCTGAACCCTCCGTCGTATCCATTGGGACCACCGGTGGTGTGTGGCAGCGCTCAGACAGAAGGGCGAGAACATAGGTACGCGACAGGGTCAACAATGCACGCAAATTTTCAGTCGAGCCTCCAGGAAGAGCCAGGGCAGAGGAAATGGGCTGACGTGAGCTGGCATAGTTTTTTTCGGAAAAGCAGATCGGCTTGGCGCCCGCAGTCACGAGCTGCTCAATCACGGCAGCAGTCGAGCTTGACGCAGCCCGCATCAACGGTGTGCAGCCGAGCCAGTTGCGGAAGTTGATGGCCTTTGGCAGCAAGGTCAGCGAGAGAGCGAGCTCGACGCCGCGTACAGCCTCAAGCCAGGCGGTTACAAGGCCCGAGCCCGAGCTTGATAATTGAGTGGCAAAACACCGCAAAAGACTACTGCCCAGGAGGGCGCTTTGTGCGCGAGCGAAATGCGAAGCAGGCGAGACGATTGATCCTTCGTGAGAAATGGAGCTCGCAAAGCTTGGCGAATGTGCGACCGTTTCAATGCACGCGAGCAAGTGGTTGAGAGCGTCAATTTTGACAGACGAAGCACGGGCTTGCGGCCAGTGTATCGAAAAGTTGACCGGCAAGGTTTCAAGCGGAACCGAGCGCTGCGCGGCCAGGATGATTGAAGCGAGCTCTGCCTTGATTTGGCTGACTGGAGTGGCAACCGCCATCTCTGGCAGGCGCAGCTGGAAGAGCCGGAATGTGATGGCAGTCAACGTATCAGCCAGGTGAAACGGCGCAGTCATTGACCGAGCAAGCACAACCGCGTCGGATGCAGTGTTGCACAGGACGCTGACTGCATGCGCCAGCTTCCAATTGTCCACATAGGCATTGGTGGTGAGGGCAACGTTCGCGTCGGCTTCATCCACGACGCCGCTCTCGCTTGCTGCGGAGGCAACGCCGGAAAAGAGCGGCTCCCGAGGCAATGGACGATTCAATGTGTAATAGACGGTTGCTGAATTGCCTCGTTTTGAAGAACTGTGCGAATGAGACGACGACGACGGCGACGAGGACGAGCTGGTTGTTGGTGGGTTTGTTGAGGTGGTGCTGGTGGACGGATGGTGCTGGTTTTGTTGATGGTCGTGCTGGTGAGTATGCTGTTGAGTATGCTGGTGAGCATGCTGGTGGGTATGCTGGTGGGAGGCTTGGTGCTGGGCCAAGGTCGGCTGCGCTTGAAGAAATGCATGTGCCTCAGCTTGCGCCGGCGTGTTCATCAAAAGATTCTGCAACTCGGGGACACTTGCTGCAAAGTTGGAAAACATGGCATGGTCGGCCGACCCGAATTGCATCTCAATCATGGACTGGAGGCCGACTTGTAATACGGCAGCAACAATGTGATACTGGTGAGGATTGATGTTGTACAGGCGACAATTGGCCAGTGTCAACACAAGATCACTGACGCAATCGACCGGCCGTGCGTAGTGCCCTTCGACGAGGCGATGCAAAACAGTGCCGAAATCCATGGGAGAGACGACCACGGCTCCGTAGTCGGCAATTCGGTAGCGCTCAGGATTGACACGCTGCTCAAACAGCGAGCCGTAAGGGTGAAACAGCAGGCTCGCCACAATGTTGAGTGTGCTGACAAACAGGCGGTCTTGGGGTTTGGGGGATTGGAACCAGGGAGTGTATACAACCGGTCGAAGCTCGGAGAGCGCGGCAATCTTCTCTTCAAAGGAGATGATGGGGATAACGTACGTTGTGACGGGAGACACAAAGGCACCGTTGGCGGTGTGGGTCATAATCTTGCGAATCGAAATGCGCATGATGGCCCAAGGGACTTCGACCATGGGGAATGTCTCGCCGACAGTGCCGTGGGCGCTGGTGAGTAATCGCCGCAGCTGCATGGAAATGCGCGCATCGATCAACGAAAGCATGCTTTTCACCGCCTCCACCAACGTGTTTGATGGCGTTGTTGCCGGTAGCAAGTCTGCAGATTCAATTTCGGTGGCAACCGAGGCCAGCCACGGCTCGGCCTTGGTCGCTGCAATCACGGCGCTGTACAAGTACAGGTAGGTGGGATGGTCCAGGCTGCGCCACGTGCCAAAAGCAGGAATGGACGTTTCCATCGCGAGAAACAGCTTGAAATACCCGGCAAGGGACGACAACGAACCGTTGTTGTCTTGTGAAACAAACCGGCTGAGGACGTGGTCGGGAAAGATCCTGTCGGCCGGGGCGGTCGAGGCATGGCTGTGCGACGGCAACGAGGCGGCCGTGCCCATGGACGGCGGCGGCGGCGGGTTGGATGGGGACCGCGTAAGTGCCTCCAGCGAAGGGGGCGCGGCGGTGGTCGACGCAGATGATGTTGTCGCAATGGACGAATCCCTACTCTCACTGGCCGCGGATGGTCGACTGATGCCAGAACTTGCACTGGCAGCCATGCTGGACGAGGCTGTGTCGATAAGCGTCATGGGAGACGCTTGTGACGCACCCAAAGTCCCATGCGAATCGGTGCCCAACAGCATGCCGGTTGCCTCTGCTCGATCTGGCGCTTGCGTTGAGACTGCAGAATCTGTGTTCGGTAGATCATCAACTTGCATCATTTCTATTTCACAGCAGCAACCAAACTCATCGTCAGTCCGATCAAACAGGACAACAAAAACAAAACAAGACGTACAGCAAAAATATATCAACAAACACCCCGCATTTTGTTTTTTTGTTTCGCAAAAACCGCCAAAAACGAATACTCGGAAAACGCACAATCAAAAGAAGAGTGCGACTGAAACCCCCAAAAACAAGAGAAAAAAGAAAAAAACAGTTTGTTTGTCACAAAGCTCGCAGGACAATGGAGGGAGTGAAAATCGGGAAGCAACTCGCCGAAAACAAAAAAAAAAAAAAAAAAAAAAAAAAACAAAAAAAAAGTGGACAGAAAGCCAAAGAAGGCTTGTTGAAAAATAAAAAATAATTAAAAATGAAAAAACCGTCCTTTTTGTTTCGCTTTGCTTGCGAATATCGAACCAGTTGGCGATCACGAATGGGAAAGCGGCGGAACCGAACAGCGAGATCTTCAACGATAAAAAAGAATAATCCGAAGCGATGTAACGCAAAAAAAAAAAAAATAAATTCAACACGGAGAATTAAAAAGCGAGGGGAAAGCAGAGAGAGGGGAAAACGCCAGAAGGACTCGCAGGGAAAAAAAAAAAAAAAAAAAAAAAAGTTGACAATTTGGTGCTTCCAACGAGCTCGGCTCGCGTTTGGCAGCGACCAGAGACCAGAGGACGCGAACGGACGTGGATGGGAGAAATAATCAGTCAGTCGGACAAACCTGCAGCGGTGGACACGCTCGAAGCAGGGTCGGTGGAGGCCACGGCGGCGCCAGACGACGGGCTCACGTCAACTGAACGCTGCTGCTGCTGCTGGTGTGGCTGCTGCGACGACACCGGTGCCTGCTGAGCCCTGGAAGCGTCGCTGGCCAGCATCGCAGATGAGTTGTCTCTCTTGGATTGGCCGTGGGCGCGCGCGAGAAGGGGTGGGTCTGCCTGGGGTTCGGCGGGAAAAGGGGTCAGCAGATGGTGACGCTCAGTTCACTTTGACTGAGGAGATATTAAAAAAAAAAAAAAAAAAAGTCTGAAGTTGTCTTCGCACATTCTTGTATTGGACAAAGGTCAAAAACAAAAGCTCGTCAGTCGGTGCACGAATGCCGAGTGTGTAAGAAAGATAATCTGGTCTGGGGGGTTTGATTCGTAAAAGATCTACGGAAAATCCTCGACAACGAAAGGTGTCGAAAAAAACAACGACAAGCGCAAAACCATTCTACAACACGATGCAATCCACCCAAACAATCCCACCTAGGACTAGTCGGCGTGGGGGTGGGAAGCAGCCTTGCCATCGCCTTGATTTTGAGTGTACTGCTGGAACTGCCTGTCGATTTGCTCGAAGGCGTTGGACAAGAGCGCGCGCTCGCCGTACAGCTCCTTCAGCAGCATGCCAACACGCTCCATCTGCTCCATGAGAAGACGCGTGTGGATGGCAAACACGGCAAAGCCGATCAGGGAGTGCTCGCTTGCTCGGAGGAAGTGCTCCTGGGCGTGGGCCAGCTGGTGCAGGTTGGCCAGCACTTGGTTGCGCGACGCAAACACGTCGGGCAACATGTAGGGAAGTGGAGCGCGCCCACGCAAGGACGCTGACATGATGAAAATGTAGTTGAGGAGCACGCCAATCATGTTTTTGCGGAGCGGATTGAGCGGCACAATAATGTTCTCGCGGAACTCTGGCGAAAAGCCCCGAGCAACCGACATGCGAATGGCAGTAAGATGGTCGACGATGGACTGGCAAACGGTCAACAGGGCGGCAAAGATTCGAATGTTGATCGGGCCCTTCACGCTCGGCTCGAGCACAGCCATTGCGGCCAACGTCTGGGCTCGAAGGATGGACTGGCGGATGGAGGATTGCAGAGCGTAGATTTGTCGCTGAAGGTACTGCGCTGCGACTGCCGTGTCGGCTTGAGACGTGGCAAGAATTTGAGGGCCTTCGCCAGGAATTTGGGTGAAGCGACGAGCGGCAGTGCGGTCGTGCGCGTATGCTGCAGCAATGGTCGAGCGATCGTCTGCAGCAGCAGCAGCAGCGGCGGCGGCGGCGGCAGCAGCAGCAGTGGCCGAGTGATCGTCGGTCGGTGAATGAGCCCGTGTAGAAGATCCGGAAAGCTGATGGGTTGTGTCATCGTGGTCGCTTTGCAGCAGCGGCGCATATTCCATAGCGGCTTGACGATTGGTGCTGGTTTGCCGCTGGAGCACTGCACCGCTGGACGCGTGGCGGAAGACCGCCGGCAACGACATTCGCCCAGCGTCGCTAAATCGGCGATGGAGTGGGTGCTGCAGGTCGTAGTTCTGGATGGCGGCGGAGAGGTTTTTTGAGGCAGCAATCTTGTGCTCCTGGTGGGAGGAAGGGGTGTTCGTGCGGTGCCTTGGCGAATCCCTGGTTTGAGCGCTCGCGGCAGCGCGTCCTTGACTGGGGAAGATGTTTGCTCGAGAAGCCACGCGTGCGTTCACAATGCTGGTCGTATTGCTGATGTGTGTTGCATCCTCGTCTGCGGTCGATGCAAAGCGGGGGAGAGTCAACCCGCTCAACGATCGATTCTGACGCGGCAGCCGCGCGGAAGGGTCACTTGTGGAGGCCGCGGTACTGGTAGCTGCAGGGGAAATTGGATCAGAGGATAATGGTGCAGACGTTACATTGGGTGCGGAATGGCGAGGATGCGGATGGGTGTCGGAGTCATCTTGTTGATGCCTATTGTGACGCAACGCAGATGGCAGCAAGGCTGACGGCCAGACCTTGGAGAAGGAGCGAAGCCAGCTGGCTTTAGCTTCGTGGCGTCGAGCAACAATACTGCCCGCCGCTTGACCGCCGAGGGCGAACAAGGCGAAATTGCCAGATACAGCCAGACCACAGTTGTCCAGAATGGTGGCGAGCTCGAGGCGCAACTCCCTGCGCGCGCGATAGGGCCAGAATAATCGCGAGAAGATCATCACAATGACCACACCAAACGAAATATCCGTCATGCGTCCCAGCGCAATCTTCCAAATTGGCAGATAGGCTATCGGCCAATAGAGCCGGTTGTTGAACTGTGCCCAACATGTCACAATGTAGGCAATCACTGCAATAAAGCCTAATTTTGAGTAGCCAGTGTGCAGCTTGAGATGGACCATCGGGAAGCAGAAGACTACCAGCATGGCGCACTGCACGTAAGGATTCGTGACATCGGCAGCGTACGAAGCGATGACCGCAAAGGCGCATCCCAAAAACGTTCCGAAAATACGCCAAAGACAGTGAATAAACGTGGCTCCGACAGATGGCAGGATGATGATAGCAACCTGTGTTGATGACGATTTGAAAGCAGTTGTGGGAGGGAAGACCAACCACGGCGGTGAGTAAAGCTCACTGCTCACATGCCCAAACAAAACAAAACAAGACAAACAAAACAAAACAAAGCAAGACAAAACAAAACAAAACAGACCAGACCAGGGAAGCCAAACGAACAACAAACGAACAACAAACTCACAGAAACCACAGCCCAGTCGCCACGCCAGGCATCATAGTTGGGATAGATGACAGAGGCAGAGAGAAGGGCGACGAGGGCACAAGCAAACCCGGATTTGAGACCAAAGAGGGAAGCTGGAGAGTTGAGCAGCTGAGACAGCTTGTACAGTCTCGCACGCCATCCTGTGGAATAGTTGACATCCGAGCCACCCTTGTTCATAAAGATGGAAGCCTCGACCTCCGGGGGATGCGGTATCAAGCCACGAGGGAAGGTGAACTTGGACACCCGCCCATTTTCGCCGAGAAGGCCAACAAGAAGGTACAAGTCAATGGCGAATTCGCGCAGCGTGAAAAGGAAGGTGTGTAACAAAAAGATGCGATCCCAGTCCGAGAATTTTTCGGCGCTAAAGAGCGATATCCCAAGCCGATGCACAGAGCTGACCTGATCGATTGCGATGGCAAGATCGTCGATGGCTGCATCAAACTCTTGGAGGACGGGATTGATGTGCGGAATACCCACTAACGGCTCGGTCGATTTCGTCAGCATTGTCTTTTGCAACGCGCTGAGGGCATCCGCGCTGTGTTGCACAAGCCCCGTAATGCAGCTTCGAATGGGTGTCACCAGCGCGCGGATTTCCTCTGGCGCGAAAGCGCCCCTTTGGGTTGCAAACGTGCTGGACATGGTCGACAGGTGCTGCGTGATGGCAAAGAGCTTGTTCACCACTTCGGTGGTCGGCCCAATGTGGGGAATGCCCAAACTTTGCTCAATCAGTGCATCGTTCAGTTGAGCATTCGCCAATCCCCATTTCGTCCGGACGTTGGTCATTGCGACGGTGCCATTCGCCCGATCGGCCTCGAACGACTCCATCAAAAAGCCGCGCGTGTTGATGAGGAGCAACTCCTCCGCCGATTTGAACAGGTCGGAAATGTTCTCGTGACAGATGGTGGTGGCGAGCTTGGGCGCAACCAGGATGGCTGCCAGCCACGCAATCGTGGCGCCAATAATAAAGTTGACTGCAAAGCCCCAGACGAGTGTCGGGATGGACATTGTCAAATACGGCCCTTGGGTAAACGTAAAGAAGACGCTAGAGCAAATAATCACATCAAAGTGCAGGGCAAGGATGGTCAGCCGCTCGTAGAAGCCGCGCAGAGCTTGGGCGGCATACATGGCAATGAACATGCCAATTGTAATCACGTAGAGGTCGTCGTGCGAGATGGAAAGTTGAATCGATACATAGCATGCTCCAAGCGTCATCCCGAGAACGGCTTGAATGTAGGCTTCGCAGGCAGCGCCAACCGTGGAGTGCACCGGGTACAGGCTGACACCAACGATAAACTGAAAGACGGCGGGGGCATGCTTCTCGCCAAGGAACGGAGTGCATGTCAGAATAGCAGCAACGAGAAGAGCAACCACCGTTTTCACAACGTCCAGGCCGCGGCGCGAGATGAGGTACAGCCAAAAGTCCACCACCGCCTTCCAAGCTGCCGTGATGAAGCGCGCAGCAAGATTTGGTCGGCGACGCTGCTTTCGATTCGCAAAAGCCTCTGGAGAATTAAGAGTAGCATTCGATTGCGGCGTGGGCCCTGGAGGATTGTTGAGAACAGCAGTGGAAGCAGCGGTGGAAGCAGCAGTGGAAGCAGCAGTGGAAGCAGCAGCAACAGCAGCAGCAACAGCAGCAGCAGTAGCCGCAGTAGCAGTTGTCGCACCGTCAGCGCCAGGCTGTGTTGAGGTGACACTTGGGGCCACATCAATTTGAACGCCAGTGGAGTTGGCATCGGTATCGCTTCCTTTCGGTGCCAAGTTTTCTGGTGCAGCGGGTACAGCATCAGCAGAGACAGGTACTGGAGCCGAGCGTTTGTTCGCGTCCGCAGTCGACCCGTCCATGACTGACTGGAGCCACAACATCCCTTGCACCTTGTCTAAATAGTCCACCGGAGACGGAAATTTCAGCCCTGCACGCGATTCTTGCAGTTTGACGAGCCACTTGTTCGAGGTGAGCTTTGTGGACGTGCCAGACGAGGTCGACGCCGAGGCCGCCAGTGTCATTGCTGCCGCAGCGTCCGAGTTGTTATCGGGCATGGGATTGTCTGGAGGCGAACTGGTTGAAGGAGCAAAGGTCACCACGCGCTCGTCGGGAAGCACTGCAGGTGACTGTGAAGTGGACGTACGCTCGCTGCCCGCTGCTGCTCCAAAAAAAGAGGGTCCAGCATCATCGAGTGGAGTGGTCTCGGGCGCCACCACTGGGGGTCCTGTTGGTGCTAAGAGAGTGAACGCCGAGGTGGTGTGCCTCAACGGCGTTGCTGGGCCTGTCACATGAGCCAAGGCGAATTCAACGGGGTTGTCGCCAACGGGATGTGCGACAAGTGCGAGCGGCGATGCCGGTACGTCCGGGCTGGGCACGAGATTCGCCTGAGCACCACCAGGAGCACCTTGAGTAGCAGCGTCACGATCGCCAGCAGTCACAGGAGTGGTCGCGCTTGCAACCGAAGCAGAAGGAGTCGTTGTGGTCGCGACCGGCGGCGTGGGAGTCGAAGCGGAATCTGACGCCGGAGATTGGACGGCGTCGTGCCCAGGCGCGGACACGGTGACAAGCGCCTGGACCATGGCTGCAACGCGGGCCGTGTCTGGTGGCGGGAGTGGCGGGAGCTCGAGATCCTCGGGATTGCGAATCGGCTCGTCGTGCACAGAGTGGACCGAGTGTTCGTGCTCCAATGGCAATCCAGAGCTGCTCCCAACGGCGGATGGGTGGGTGCTTGTGGGTACCGCTGTTGCCGCTGCAGCTGTAAGTGCGGCAACATCATCCATCGGGATGGCCACGTTGGCCGTCGATGATGTCTTACTCATCAGAGCCCCCAACGAACGGGCAAACAAGGGATAAGCTGGAAGACTGAGCTGAGCGGCTTGATTTGGAAGACACTCATGAGATGAGAACTTGCGACGCACTCGAAGACACACTTTCACAGTATTTGCACAAAACAAAATATTTGCACAAAACAAAATAGTCACAAGCATCCAACAAACATGACAACAAGAAAACACACACACATTCAAAAGTGCACACTGCTGCTGTTTTTAAAAAGTCTTGCGGTGCAACACATTTGGGCCAACATCGTCGTACTCTTGCTTGGACACCCACATTGTCTTGAATGCATCGAGCGACGCGAGGATGGAGCCGCCAATCCAGGCAGAGTACAATCGCTCTCGTGGTGCCGAAACGCGGATTGTTCGAATGTTGCTTCGTTGGGCGGTCTGTTGCGTTGATGATGATCGGCCCGGATTGTTTACAACGCGATGAAGCTCATTCACAAGACGGTTTCCGAATCCTGCAAGAAGCGGCATTCGAAAGCGCAGGACGTCGATTTAGCGAAACATGATTCAAGCCTTCCGCCGTCTCCCTCATCTCACACACCCCCCCCATCTTCCTTCAAAAAGCCGCCTGGAAACGAAATTGCAGTCCGAAACCTACCTCGCATCAAAGTGCTGCCGCCAGAAAGCACAATGTTGGATAGCAATGTGACGCGCATGTCAATGTCGCACTTGAAAACAGAGTCGTACACCATCTCGTGCACGCCCATGTACTCCTTATCAGCCAGCTGGGGATTGAAAAGAATCTCAGCTGCTCGGTGACGCGCTTGACCAACCTGGAACGACCCGACGTCCAAAATATAAAAAACAAAATAAAAAAGGGTTCAGAAATCAGTTTCGTTGGCGGTCAAACCAGCCCCGCTCACGCTTCGTGACACAACAGAAAACAGCCACGGTCAAAAGTTCACACATACCTCAATGATCGACTCGTCAGGCAACGTGTACGTGCTCGGCTCCGAGCTGGATTCAACGCCTGCGCGTGAGGGATCGAGCTCAAAGTAGCACACACGCTCCTTGATGGTGCGCGCAATATCAAACTCGGCACTGGTGTGAAGATCGTAGCCCTCCTTGCGAAGGAGCATACGCAGCTGGCGGGTAACGTCTCGTCCGGCCAAATCCATGCGGTTGATAGACAGGGGCATCGCAAAGCCCTCGTACACGGGCACTGCAGTTGTGACACCGTCGCCAGAGTCCAGAACGACACCCGTGGTGCGGCCTGACGCATAGAGTGAGAGCACAGCGGGCAGCGCAAAGTACAGCGCGGGAACGTTAAAGTTCTCAAAGAAGACCGACGCAGCCTTCTCGCGGTTGCGGGTCGAGTTGAGCGGCTGCTCTGTCAGCAGCACGGGATGCTCCTCGGGCGCAACGCCAAGACCCTCCTTGGAGTAGGTGTGCTGCCACAAACGCTCGGCGTCCTCCCAGTTGGTGACAACGCCGTGCTCGATCGGGTGCGACAGGCGCAGCAGACCCCGGTGCTGCGCAATCCTGCCACCCATAAAGTATGCTCCTTCCACGGCGTCCGTCATGACGCGGCGGTGCTTTGGCCGACCAACGCACGTCGGTGCGATGTGCTTTGGCTCCAGATCGCCTGCAAAGCCCGCCTTGATCATGCCCGAGCCCTGTTTTTTGTTTTTTGTTGTTTTTATTTAGATGTCCCCAATAGTAAACAAATAGCATGGTTAGTTTGAGGGTTGTTCTGAGAGATTGTGATGAAGCGATGCTTGGCATGAATAGAGTGAATGAGGGAATGAATGAGAATAATGCGAACGATCTGGCTGGGTTGTCCTCCCACCCCACCCCACCCCCCGGTCCAGTGCAGCGTGCATGAATGGGTTGGTTTTGGGCTTGCAACAAGAAGGAGAGACTCTCGAATCAAAGAGGAGCAATCTTGCATTTTGGGATGCTGAAAAAAAAATTGGAAAAAAAAAAAAAAAAAAAAAAAGAGACAGATCTGCAATCCTTTTTGCCATTGTGATGCGATTTTGCCAGACAAAACCACTGGCGTTGCTACTGATGTGTGTGTGTGTGATTGTGCGGCTGTGGCACTGAAGAAGGGATGTAGAAACGCAAGTGAAGAGCAGGGGAACACGCATTGCCAGGATTGCAGCCAGAGAGGGAAGACGATCGGCTTCAAAGCGCGCCAGAATGACCAACGCAGCGTCCCCGGCTCTGTCTCTCCTTCCTCGCTCCCACCCCCCTCCACCCCCACGAGCTCGCGTCAGGGGAAACGAGAACCCCAAATCAGCGGCGGAAGGAAGTGGCGAAATGGCTGCAGAATGACAATCAAGCTCTCTCTCTCTCTCTGTCTCTCTGTCTCTCTCTCCAACGCCACAAACCCGCGTCGGGGGGGGGGGACACGAAAGCAAAGGCCAAAGAGAAAATAACGCAAATCAAGAGGAAGGAGGAGCAGCATGCAAGCGGACTGCGAGACAATACCTGGTCAATCACCACAGGCTGGTTGCTGATCACTTCGTGCAACGACATGGTCAAACAACTCAAATTTTAAGAAATGACCTCCCACATTTATGCAAATCCAAAACGCAAAAGAGTCCAAGTGATGGAAATGGTGATTGAGAGAGAGAGACAGAGAGAGAGAGAGAGAGAGAGAGAGAGAGAGAGAGAGAGAATCTGAGAGCAGATTGCAGAGTATGAGAATGGATAGAATAACTGCCAAGAGCTCGATGATTTGAGAGAACGTTCAATGATTGAGAGCTATCGAACACGTCGTAATGCAAATTAAAGGCTTTGGAGGGAACGGAAGCCGAATTTTGTGCGGTTGTTGCATTCAATGCTCTGCGATCCGTTGTTACAATTCTGAACTGAATACAGCGTGGGCCCTGGCCACTCTTTTCGGTCTTCAGCTCGTAGCATCGTTTTGATTGGTGTTAGGACGACATCGTGACGTCCACAACCCCGGCTACTGGCAAACAGTTGAATCGAGAGCTTGCGATCGGCGCTCTTCCTTACCACACTCTTCACTATCAACTCGCTTCTGAGCTCCACGTCCAAGTTCGTCAAGTTCTCTTCCCGGGTCGAAGCCACAACAGGCGCGGCACGAGAAGTTGCCAATCGTATCCTTTCTTCACCCTTCCCGTTTCCAAGACACAGATAGTTCGGATAACATCGAGCTCGCTTTGCGTCCACCAACCAATACAGGGCTCCCCGCCAGTTTGGCACAGACACTTCCCGCAGATGGCTGATTATACGGAGGACGAGCGAAACGCCTTTGCAAAGCTCGTTGCCTTTGCGCGATCGACCGAGACGAGGAGACTAATTTTGGCGTCGACCCAGACGCCTCACGAACGATTCATGGTCCTGACCCTGGAAAACGTGGCCGATTCTTCTTTCAGCGATGACTCAAACATGCCTACTTTCATTGCTTCCGCCCACCCCTCTCTCATTCCAACACGAGAACAACCCGTTTATTTTACTCACTCCACCCACGTTACTCAAGACGGTTGCATGCTTCAGTCACACAACAACCCTCGACTCAAAATTTTGTTTTACCTGAGCCCCGGTCGACTTTCGCAGTTTAATGCTACGGCAAGCGTTTATCTGGAGAGAGATTCTGGTGTCTTTCAACTCCAAGGGTATTACGCCCTCTGGAAGTTTTCCGATTCGCCGTCCCGTGTTTTGAGAAAAGTGTAGTTGTAATTGTGTCGCACATCAAGCCGTAGACTTTGGCAAAATACAGGACTTTCATCGATACCTCCACTCAATGACCAGAAGAAATCACTCGGAGTGGATTTGACAAGTAAAAACGAACAATTCAAAAGTGTTTCAATCTCTCCCCCCGCCGCCGCGTTGTTTCGTGATTGTTGCCTTTGATTTTGCAATAATAGAGAGAGGAAGAGAGTGTGTTGAGGGAAATGATAGAGTAGAAGAACGTCGACACATGCGCGTGTGTGGATGAAGCTCAGTTTTCCGTTTTGCTTTTTGCCGTGACTTTGTTATCAGTCAGCCGATAACAAAAACTCATAAACACCCAAAACAGATGTCCTTCCAGCGACTCGAAAGCAGGGACGCTGACGACGACGGTGCTCTGCTGTCATCCTCGAGCTTGGGTCTGCGCAGCGTGACGGCAGCAGACCAGCAGCAGCAGCAGCCGGAAGATGTGGAGGACGAGTACGAAACCGCACAAGGCGATGGACGCGACTTGTTTTCGAGTGGCAACGTGGCCGATAGCAAGACGCCCGCTCGTCCAAAGTTCACCTTTGCGGGCCTCTCGATCGGCCAGGGTCACGGACATGGCCACAGCCACGGTGGACACGGCGGCGGCAGCGGCGGCGGCGGCGGCGGCGGTGACAGCCATGGTGGCAGCGGTCAAGCACACCACGGCCACTCCCATGGGTGGTTCCGCCACAGCCACGCAAAGGACTTCCAGCAAGACCACGGCATGGGCCACTCGCACGACCGCCATGGACACCTTGTTCGCATGAGCGCAATTGCCAAGTTTGCCCAGATTGCGCGACCGGAACGCACAATGATGCTTGTCGGTGCGGTCGCGCTGTCGCTCTCAGTCGCTGTCAATCTGTTCCTGCCTTACTCGCTCGGAAGCTTGTTGGCAGATGCTGCAGAGACTGGAAGCAACACGACGACGACGACGAGCAACGGAGAGGTGCGCGAAAAGACGAGCTTCTCCACCATTGTCAACATGACCTTTGTCTACATGGCCATCTACGTGTTTGGCTCCCTGATGACATCGACACGCGCGTTCGCGTTTAGCATTGCTGGTGAGCGCCTCGTGCGTCGCGTGCGCTGCGCCTTGTATGCGTCCATCCTTTCGCAACCAATGAGCTTTTTCGACAAGGCTCGCTCTGGCGAGCTGCTCAATCGACTCTCCGCGGACACGGATCTTCTCAAGCACACCATCAGCCTGAGTCTTGCTCAGGCGCTTCGTTTCTTGGTGCAGGTCATTGGCGGCACGCTGTTCCTCTTTTACTTGAGCTGGCAAATGACGCTCGTCCTGCTCAGCGTCATTCCGCTCGTCGCGCTGGGTGGCTGGTGCTACACGCGCAAGGCGAGGGTGCTCAGTCGCACCTTGCAGGACGCCCTTGCTGAAGACGCCACGATCGCGGATGAGGTGATCAACGGCATGCGGCATGTCCAAGCGTTCGGTCGGCAAGACTTTGAGCAGAAGCGATTCACCACCCATCTCAACGCCACCTACAAGTATGCGCACAAACTGGCCATGAGCACCAGTATTTTCATGGGCGCAGCCGAGTTTGGTTCCTACTGGGCAGTGCTGATGGTGATCTTGTACGGCGCTCACCTGCTCATCGAAGGCCAGCTCTCTTCGTCGTTTGTGACGTCGTACATTTTGTACGCCGTGTATGTTGCCCATGCGCTCGGCGCGCTCTCGCATGTGGGTGCGGAACTGTCCAAGTGCGCCGGTGCGGTCGAGCGTCTGATGCAACTCCTCTCCCTGTTCTCGAGCAGCCAAGCTGCGGATTCGCCCAACTTTTCCTTGGTGGAAGAGCTCTCCTCCGTCGATATTCGTGGATATCAGCCGCGTGACGGTCTTCGCGGCCTCGTCGAATTCGAGCACGTGTGCTTCTCCTACGACACGGTCGACACATCCATCAGCGACCGTGCCATCGAGCAGCACACCAATTCCCATCCCTTCACCACTTCCCACATCCACCACCCAACTACTGGCGAGCCCATGCGACCGTCGTCTGGACGCTCCAAGGCAGCAGGATCCGATCGCCAGGTCCTCATGGACGTTTCGTTCGTTGCGCAACCTCGCATGACCATTGGCCTCGTTGGTCCTTCCGGCGCTGGAAAGAGCTCAATTTTGCAGCTGTTGCTGGCCTTTTATGCGCCGAGCGCTGTAAGCCCGAGTTTCATTTCTTGACGTTCAAGCAAGGCAGTCACGCTCACCGGTTGTTTGGTTTGGTTTTTTTTTTTTTTTTTTTTGGTGAAACAGGGCTCAATCAAGATCGACGGTCACCCGATTGAAAGCTTCAACAGCAACTGGCTGAGGCAAAACGTGGGCTATGTGAGCCAAGATCCGACGCTGTTTTGCTGCTCAATTGGCGACAGTAAGTAGACGGGTTGTTCTGCTGCTCGACAATTCAATACGCGAAAATGGCAACTCTCGGCTCATGATTTCGGCTTTTTTTTTGTTTTGTTTCTGTTTAACTTTCGCGCTTAGACATCCGCTACGGCCGTCTTGATGCCACTCAGGCCGAGGTGGAAGAGGCTGCTCGCGTGGCGCTCATCCACGACTTTATCATGTCGTTGCCGCACGGGTACAACACGATCGTGGGAGAACGAGGTGCCAAGCTTTCCGGAGGCCAGCGCCAGCGTATTGCTATTGCTCGAGTCGTGCTCAAGAACGCCATGATTGTGCTCATGGACGAGCCAACCAGTGCGTTGGACGCCGAAAGCGAGCAATTGGTCCAGCAAGCCCTCGAAGCGCTGTACAAGAATCGCACCTGCCTCATCGTTTCCCACCGACTCGATGTCATTCGCTCCTGCGATCTCATTCTCGTGTTTGAGCATGGTCGGCTGATTGAAAAGGGCACGCATCAAGAGCTTCAAGGAGCCGGCAAGACCTATTCCAAGCTATTGGCGATTCAATCCTCAAGCTGAAAAACGAAAGAAAATCGGAGGCTTGCCCCGGTTCATTCTGGAGGCGATTGAGCTGAATGGATTATTCTTTCGTGTTTGTTTGTTTTGTTGGCTTTCTACCCCTCCACAATGCACTGTTGGACTGATCACGCTGCTTGCCAATTTCAAACATTCGTGCAACTGAGTTTCGCTGAATTTCCTCCAAGCCCCCCCCCCAAAAAAAAAAAAAAAATGAATCAGTGAAACAGATGATGGTCCATGCAGGGCTGCCAGTGTGTCTAACCGTGCATAAAGTGATGCACTCCAAACCCGTGCATCACCCCCAAGCACGAAAAAGCCATTCAAAACCATTGTGATTGATTGTGATTTTGAGCCCTTTTCTCTCCCATTCAATTCTCATTCATCATCAAAGCCTTAAGAGCCGAGAACAAGCTTTACTAAAAGAACACTCGATCACAGTGTGCCGCGCTAGAGGGTGTCAGGTGGGGACGGCTTTCGTCGATTCAACCAAATTCGATTCAAAATCAATCCTTTTTTTTTTTTTCTTTTTTTTTTTCCTTTGCAGAGATGCGCAACGCAGCGCTGCTGTTGCACATTACGCGGCGGGCCGTTCTTGATCAGCGTTCTGCTTGCGGTTGCGCTTGTGGCTGTCCGACCGCACGATGGAAGCAGCAGCAGTGCCGTTGTTGTTGAGCCGCAACACGCCGATTTCCCAGCAGCCAGCATCCATCATCATCATCATCACCACCACCATTCAAATCCCACAATGTCTTCGCACTCGTCAGCACCATCATCGTCTCTATCATCGCTCTCTTTGCAGTCACGAGCGTCGGCGTCGTCGTCGGAGGGGCTGGGCGTCGGCGTCGGCGTTGGTGCCGAGCTCTGTGGTAATCGGCCTCAGCTGGGGCAATCCACCATCGGCACACTCTGCAGTGCACCACCACCGCCGCCGCCGCGCTGCTCAGTCAGGGGTGTATGCGACGGCACATCCTCGCAGGCCTCGTCCGCGGGCACCCGCAACGACGCACTCGCGCATTCAGCCACAGCGTCACACGCCAGTCACGGGCCTATTCCGCCGACGGACGACCACCATTGCAGCACGCCCGCCGACGCACTCGTCAGCCACCCTGTCGGCGGTGCCTGTAACGAGGAGGGCAATGAGGAGGAGACGGGGGAGGAGGACCACCAGCCAGCAGAATCAGAATCCGCTGAAGAAGAAACGGTTGAAGTGGCACGCGGGAAAAAATCGCCGTTTCAAACGTCGGCAGAGTCACCCCGAGTCACCCGTGGACCAGCAGCAGCACTCACAGACAGCACTGACAGCACTGTCAGGACTGCTGCTGTTGCTGCTGCTGCTGGTGGTGTGGCCGCCGGGATGGCGCAAAACCAGCCGCATCGCAACGTGGACGCTGCCCAACCGTGGATGGCAATCCTCTCCGACGCAATGTACGCCGGCGCGACCATCCGCACGGCCATTCTCACGCTGCTGTTTGGAATAATGGTCGGACTGTACATGATCAATGTGCGACTGCAGCCGGGCCGCACGCTGGCAGTGCAAAACACGCTCGAGGTGACCGTCTACCTCCGCTTGTACGTGCGGTGGCGCGCTCATGTCGACAGCGGCCGGCGTGTGATGAAGCGCCAGAGCCGCATTATTGCTGTGGCGCCATCGTCGCATGCCACGTTGGACAAGCCGCAGCTGCCAGACATGTCCAACGAGCTCGTCGTGCTCATCTCGACCGACGTGCAAGATTTGCGTCGCCGCCTCACGAAAATCGACTACCGGCATCTGGCGCGTCGCAACGTCGACATTCATGAGCACCTCATCCTTGCTCGGAAAACGGGTCTTGTGTTTGCCTACACTCCGCTGGAATGGTACGTGATGGAGGTGGCGATATGTTCGCGCACTGGGAGTCCGTGCTTTTGGTGTCGCCCCAACGAAAGACACTCACTGGCTTTTGTTTATTTGTGTGCGCATCTTGCAGGAAATCCAAACCAATCACAGACCTGATTTCTGGACACTTCCGTAGCGTGACGTTGCCTATTTTGAGAAAGGCGCGCTCGTTAATGCTGGACGACCATCCGTATGCAAAGACTGGTAAAGAGATTCGCATACCTGCAGTCAGTTGGTTGGTTGTCTCCTTTGAAGCAACAACACGCCCACTCATCATTCTCTCCTGCACTCCTTGCAGAGGCGCGGGTTCGAATTGGCTCGAACATTTGCGATGAGGAACGACAACTGATTGCCGTCCGACAGGAACGCGTGCGTGATGCCCTCAAGAGCTTCCTCAGCCTTGCAGATTTGGAGGACGAGGATGTGCCAGTGACTGCCTTGTGTGGCAGTGGTGGCGGTTGTCGCGCCATGGTTTCTTTCGTTGGTGGCATGCTTGCCGCTGAAGAATCAGGCATGCTGGATTGCTTTACGTACATTTCGGGCCTCTCTGGGTCAAGCTGGGCAATGAACGTGTGGTTGGCTTCGCAACAGCGCGCTCGGCTTCGGCGGCAATCCAATGAGCCGCTCGATGGTGACGACCAATCTCTCGAGTCGGCGTCAGAGCAACAAATGCAGGGCGAACGGTCACTGGACGAGCTGCCGTCGTCTGCGTCTCCCCTTGCAAGCAGCGATCCCCAACGCGTGCGATCGCGGTTGCAGTACTCGCAGTCCTTGCTCGACTTGTCACAGCTGGAACTCGTTTATGACGACGCTTCCACGTCTCAGTTTCTCAAATCGTTTGCGATCGGCCCAGATCGGCAGATGCCCCTCGCCGCTCAAGGTGTGGCGGGCTCACCTCTCGTGTTTGCCTTGAAGGTGGAAGAAACCTCGAGTCCGAATGAAGCTGAATCTCCAGCACAAACTGTGCCTCTTCGATCAGAGCAGCAGCACCACCACCACCAGCAGGTGGTGACAAGTCCCGCCATTGTCGTCACGATGGACAACGATGAGGATTCTCGACAATGCCGAATTCTCGCGATGCGGTTCAACCTCGTCCCTTTCTGCTTCCAGCTCGTTCGCCTTTGATGCACACGAACTGGTTAGCATTTCCTCTTCCGACTCGCCTCTGGAGTCATCTTCACCATTCGTGCCTTTCGTGCGACCACCGTTCTCCAAGAGCTTTATCGCTGGAGGCGACGACGATGAACTGTCAACGCCCAAGCTGCTGCTGCTGCTGCTGCTGCTGCTGCCGCCTCGGCTTCCTTCACGGGCCTTGCTGCACCAGCAGCGGTTCTATCCCACCACCGACGCCATTCTGGCTCGAAATTGCATTTCATGGCACATTCTGCCGACCAACAACCCTTCACCCTTGCAGAGCCTTCCACCGCCTCCGCCCTTCACCCTTGCAGAGCCTTCCACCGCCTCCGCCCTGGCCGCATCGCACTCTGTCTCGCCCTCCTCCCTCCAGATCGAGAACGAAGCGTTTGACGACGCGCTGGACTGCATTCGATCGAGTTACCCTGACGAGCGACGTGCCGAGTTGTATCCCTTGGCATTTTTGTCTCATCCTGCCAGTTTAGACGAAGGTGTGTTGCGGGATGGTGCTCAGTCCGAATCTGTGCAACAGGCGGGCGGCGATGAACATCACGACATCAATGACGATGACGAGAGCGATGAAGGCGACAACAACGACGACGAGAGCGATGAAGGCGACATCAACGATGACAGTGACACCTCGCCTGAATCTCCCGCCCGCTTTGGTGCACCGGCTGCACCACTTGCATCTCGTCGGGACAGTTTTAGCATGTTGTCTCGCACGGACGACGGTGCCGTTGCGGAGGAAGCCATTTCGCTCGAAGAGCAAGAACGAGTCATGGCCAGCTACAATGACGGCTCGATTCGAGTCTTGTTCGAAATGATCAAGCGCAAAATGAGTGCGGCTAGTCTGTACCGTCCCGTTAGCCCGGCCGGAATCGCTGAAATTGAGACCTTGCTCCGCGAGTGGCTCTTGTACAATGAAAGCCTCGGCTTGGCTGACATTTGGGGCGCCAACCTGGCCTACCATTTGCTTGGCACAGAAGACTGCGGCGAGAATTGCCAACGCGTGCGTTTGTCCTCGCAGCGTCACGTGCTGACCGATGGGCGCTTCCCCTTCCCCATCAATTCGGCCATTGTGCGCGGCATCAACAACACGTTCGAATGGATTGAGCTGTCTCCGCTTGAAATCGGAGGCAAGTATCTCCAGTCCTACGTGCCCACCTGGGCGTTTGGTCGAAAGTTTGAGAATGGCGTTTCGGTGGACGATCGTCCCGAGCAAAGCTTGGGCCGTCTGATGGGCGTTTTTGGCTCGGCGTTCTGTGCGACTGTTTCCCTGATTGTTGCAGAAATTGAGCAAATGCTCTCCACCGAGCTCATCAAGTCCATCATTCGCAAATCAGTCACATCTGGCCAGCTGCTTGACACTCAGCCCGTTGCGCCTTCGACGTTTGCAAACTTCACCTACGGCTTCATCTCTCCCGAAATGCGCCACAGCTCCCTGTCCATGATGGACGCTGGTCTGGACTACAACCTGCCCATGCCGCCGTTGCTGCGTCGTGAGCGCGGCGTCGAGCTCATTGTTGTGATGGATGCCAGTGGACCGCCGCAAGTGCTCAAACACTTGCAGTTGCGCGGATGTGAGGCTTGGGCCAAGCGCAACGGCATGCCCTTCCCCAGCATCGACTATGCTCAGCTGGACAAATGGACGGACTATGTCCATGTTTTTGGTCCAAAGTCTAAGCTTCCCCATGTCGAAGCCCTGAAGCGCCGGCTGCGATTTGCAGCTGCTGCAGCTGCTGCGTCTCCGCCATCATCGTCATCCTCTGCCGTGGATTCTCAAGGTACAGATGCTGATGCCGAGCCAGACTCTTCAGAGCCAGGGTCGGGCGTTGTTGGACACTCTACGCCTGCCGAACGCCAGGCCAAAGCACAGAGGGAACTTTCAGTGCCTGATTCAACGATTCCCGAGCACGATCGAACCCGTACCACTCTCCAGGCTCAGGAAGAGGCCGACATGCTGCATGACACCGCCGATGGCGATGAGTCCGACTTTGAAGACGAAGAGGACGACGTTGTGGCCACAGACACCCCGTCGACGCCTGCAATTCGACGTTCGCAGAGCTACGCTGATATTACGGGCAGCATCAACAACTACGATCGCTTTTTGCGACCTAAAATCCATCGCCGCGACAGTCTCTCTTCGAACGTCTCGTTCGATGTCAATGCGCTCTCCGAACATCTCCCGTCCGAATTGAATCGCTCCGATAGCGTCTCCGGCCCCATGAGCGATGTCGAGATTGACATGCGAAGCGACGATTTCGACCACGAGTTTGAAACCGACGAAGATGCCGACAAGGACGACGGCGCGCCCATCATTGTGTACTTCCCGATGCTGGCCAACCCCGAGTATTCGAGCAAGTTTGACCCTCTCCAGAACTTGGCAGCTGGTGGCTACTGCAGCACTTTCAACATGCATTTCACCCGAGAGCAAGTTGAGGAAATGGCTGGCTTGACCCACTTTAACGTTCGCCGCAACGTGGAGATGGTTCGGGCCGCCTTCCGTGATGTTGTCGACAACAAGCACAAGGCGCGCATGCGGCAGTTGCATGTTGCGGCCTCCAGTTCCAAAAAGAAGGAGTAGAGGAGAGTTTGGGTTTTTCTTTTTCATTTTTTTTTCTTCCTTCGGCTCTAAACGGGCAGAGTGTTCGTTTGTTTGTCGAATAGTTGTTTGCGCTTGTTAGATGGCGTTTGCAACCGCAATGGTGTGTTGCCCTCAGTGGTGACAAGGGTATGTGTTACCTCAGCCATTGTTTGAGTTGCTTTGTTAATTATTATTGTGTTTCTGTTTGAGTCGCAGTGTTTGTGTGCTGATAGTTTGTATGGTTAAATTAAACATTGAATCAACTTCACGCTACAACGATGCGCAGCGTCGCTCATTCATTTCACAAGCTGATATTCGCCCCCAGATGTCGCCAGCTTGCCATCTGCAACCATGTTGCTAAGGAACCGCCGAAAGGAGCGATCATCGATCGGCATCGTTGGCGCGTACATGCCCATCATCGTGAGCATGCGGTCGGCGGGTAGCGATCCCAAGTTCGTCAGCATCATGCTAACAAACATGAAGCACTGCGTGACATCCAGCTCTTCGTCGCCCTCGGCCTCCTCGCCGGCTTCGCCGTCAATGTTGTGCAGGGCGTCCTCTTCATCGCTATCGGCATCGATTCCTTGCAAAGGCACACCCTGGTCGGCGATTTTTGAAATCACGCTGAAAGTGTCTGCCGGGCTTTCAATCACCACCCGCTGGGCAATCCAGAAGGCCAGACGCTTTCGAACGACTGCTGTAGATGATTCGGTGGCTTCGACGAGTTCACCGAGCGTCCAGGGATCTACAAGAGTTGCGGGAAGAGCCAAAGTTCAGAATTGAGCGTTTTCGTCCAACCTTGCTTTTCTTTTTTTTTTCTTTTTGTTTCCGTTCGTCGCATTTCACATACCGTCTCGTTCAAAAAGCATAATTAGGGAGGCCATTGCAGGCGCAACTGAGAATTCAAGTTCACCATCCTCAAAATCGAGGGAAATGGTGACGATGCCGACACTGTGTTTCCAATGCAGGGCGCGTGTTGGCTTCAGTATCTCGAACGCTGCTTCATAGGCCTTCATGAAGCTGGAAACGAGGAACAAACGGTGTGAGTTGGTGTGGTTCATATGGCACCAACAAAACCGCATCATCAAGATAAGCGGCTCCCCCGTTTGTTTTTGTTTTTCCAAAGAAGCTGAACATACTCTTCAACAGGCTTCGGCAGAGGAGTGGGCTCAGTCTTAAAGTTTGGCCAATAAAGTCTCGAAAGGATGATTACATTCAATGGGAAATCCTGAAATACGAGTGAAGCTGGTGAGAGATGCGCCCAAAAACACACTTGAAGCGACTCGAACACCACACTCACCAGCTTGACGGATTCCGGCATACGCTCTTGCACGCTTGTGTTATTGCGCTTGGACTCGGTGATGTCGCGGAGCATGACTTCACTGAAAAGCATGTTCGCCTCGCCGAACCGAAGCTTGAGCAGCTCGAGATTGCGGAGCTGAGCAAACGAGAGGCAAACGCGATGAGGCTCGACTTTATCAAACACGTTGCAACATTCTCTCAACGGCAGATGGAAGGACAAACGAAAACTCACTTCTTTGTCAATGTCATAACTCAAGGTGGAGATTAAACGATCGGACAGCAGTGCTCGATACTCGTCCACAAAACGCTCCTTGCTACCGTAGATGCTAATCAGCAAACTGATAATATCGGACGTCTTTCGCAAGCTGGAAGGCTGCGTCAAGTCGGCATTCAGAGGCACGGGATTCCAACTGTCGGTCGCGTCTTCCGTATCGCTCACATCGCTGTCCGCATTTGCGGACGCGTTTGTGTTGGCGAGCTCATCGCGCAGATCGCTCTCTGCATCGTCAACAAGGCTCGACACGATACATCGGATTGTGTCCTCGCGACCGCTGTGTCAGGTATTCAGAGCAACGTAAAAGATTGCAGGATTCAGGGTGTTAGCGGGCGTGGCCTCGAATCCAGCAGTGACAGGCATGGCAAAAAAATCCTACTCACAACAAGTACTCGCGAACAGGAGCGCAAACTTGCTCCAAAATCACGCCCGACTCATCCAGCTGGCGCAAGGCTCTGATGGCCGAGATGTATTGGGTCAGAATATCGGGTGTGTTGGCACCAGGATGAAGCAATCGCCGTTCAAACCTGCCGGTCAAGTGCAAAAAGCATGGATTCAGGTGACTCTACTCCACACAACAGAGAAATTTCCGGGCTCCCAAAACCTTACGATGCACGAAGAGTTTGCACAAGCGCTGCTCGTTGTTGTGGATGGATGAGAAGAGCGCGAAGATCCGATAGAGCGTTCGCAGACTCTGGGTAGTCGACAATAATATCAAACAGCTCGGTTGTGCTGCACAAATCAAGGCAGAAGGGTCAGAAAAGCCAAAAAAAAAAAAAAATGCTCAACCAGGTTTTTGAGGCACAAAACGGCAAAAAGCATAGCAAAAGGTCGGACCGAAGCGCAGCAAGGGATTGCGACAGCCATTGTGTCTTCAGGTACGCTGGTTTGGAAAGCGACCCAAAAAAAAACGATGAGCAAGGACGGTACTCTCGCTCATTTCCCACTTCTCAAAGAAATCGCATGCAAAAAAAACTCACAAATCAACTGGTCGCACTCGTCGGACTCGCCTAGCACATGTCGCAGCCAGGGAGCTGGATACGTGTCAATCCATTGACCTGCCGCTTCATGACAGGAGTCTGCAAACAAGTTTGCCATCGCCTCGGTCTGTGCCTTGACCAGGATGTCAAGCTGCGACAGGACAAAGGGCATTAGAACGCGATGCTGGAGCTTTCGTCGTTGGCACACGGAAAACACGGCGGCTGTCGCGGCCCCGACTGCCTGTTGCAGCGCTTCGATCGCTTCTTCAGGCACATCGTCGCAGATGCGCTTGTGCCAGTCGTTAGGCACATCATCGTGGACTACCGCATGTGCCCAGTACGACAAAGTGACAAATTGCTCCACCATCGCGGCAAACTCGGGCAGTGGCCGGGCGAACACGATAGCTCCCGCTTCCGTATTGACATTGAAAGCTCTGCAAGTGGTTGGTGTTGAAGCCAGCATAAATGAGCAAGCACTATGCCTGCAAACAGCGAGGCAACTGCTGCGCAAAGTCTACCAACCGAATAGCAGCGGACAAGGAGGGAATGGATTGAGCAAAGTCCAAGACGGCCTCGAACAGCGTTTCGTGGGCAGCAATGCTCGCTTCTAGTACGGCGAATGCCGCCTGCATGTTCTTGGCCAGCCAAGTGGCGATGGCTCCCGAGTTGCTCTGCGTTGATGTGAATCCCAATGACTCGCTAATCCTCGCCACCCACGGTCGCTCTCAACACATCGCAAAATTGCCGCCCTTTTCTACCAACCTGATCTGGCTGCGGTGTGTTGGCCAGCACAGCCCAGAACGCCGGTGCAGCTTGAGCTCGCAGCGATTCCCTGCATTCACCTGTATGACACACAGACACACGACACACAGAGATCAGTCGACGCAGCCACCACCTGTCGCTGCAAAATGGCAACATCAATCGGCCACTCTGCATGGCTTTGCACTTTAATGGATACGTTTGGCTGCCTGGCTTACTGAGGATGAGGTCGGCAAGAGTTCCCGCCAAAACGGCCTCTGCGCTCGCTCGTCGCTGGCGATCGTCCGCCGCGTCTGCGCAGCCAAAGTACGCCTGGATTGCAGCTCCGAGGCGCTGCTGCTCCAGCACGAGTGTGGATGGTGAGGATGGCGAGGAGGATGCCGATGCGACGATGCTGCGGCAATGCTCGAGCACAGCGGGAAGCCTGCTCGCCGCCTGCGCCGCAATGCTCGCCGCCAAAGCAGACATTGCAGACGATGAAAGTAGGAATGAGTGTTGGAAATTTCGGTATGATCGTATGAGTCATCTAATGAGGAAAATATGAGTAGTGCATCCAGTCGTCCTTCTTCAATACTACAATACTACAATGGCGGTCGTGGCTGCAGCGACCAGGTGTCTCGGAGCAATCCGCGCGGCGCAACCGTCGCTCAATGCATTCATCAGCATTGCAAGCGATGACCATGTGCTGGGACTGGCGCGGGCGTCGGACGAGCGCCACGCACGAGGTACTGCTTGGCCCTCTCCATCATTCAATCCCCTTCGCTTTGGGTGGCGGGGAGAGGGACGGGGGACCCCTCAGAGTGCTGATCCAACACTCAACTTGAATATCCCTGTGTTTTGGGGGGGGGTTTGTTTGATGTATGGTGGCTGATCGGGAACGTTAGGATTGCCGCTCAGCGAGATTGACGGCGCTTTGATTGCAGTCAAGGACAACCTGTGCACGACAACGATGCCAACGACATGTGCATCCAAGATGCTCGCTAGTAAGCCAAGAACACTTCTTGCTATTTATTGGGTCGTGGCTGCTCAGTGAGCACTCATACATGTTCGACCCCTTGACTCAGACTTCACTTCGCCGTTCGATGCCACTCCCGTGCAAAGGCTCCAGAAGGCTGGTGCCATCGTGGTTGCAAAGACGAACATGGACGAGTTTGGCATGGGGTATATATATATAGCGCCTCGCTTCAATGTTGTTTGCCTTCATCCCACCAGTCATTGGGCATTTTCAACTGACAACTTGACTCATCTCGTATAATCTAGATCGTTCAACCTCAACTCTGCCTATGGGCCTGCTATCAATCCTCGGTTTCCCCTCGATACGCCTGTTGTCACGGGCGGCTCGTCGGGAGGCAGTGCCGCTGCGATCGCGGCGAATCTTGGGCTGTTTGCGTACGTATTGGCGGCAATTGTCGTTGTGGGTGCTTGTATCAGTGCGACGCATGTGGCGGCTCTTTGGCTGGAGGTGTTTTGACTGGTGTCGCTGCTTGCAACATGTAGCGCGTTGGGCTCTGATACGGGTGGCTCGGTGCGTCTGCCCGCGGCGTTTTGTCAGGTGGTTGGCTTCAAGCCCAGCTACGGCCGGGTTTCGCGACACGGACTGGTCGCATACGCCTCGTCACTTGATACAGTCGGTGTGCTTGCTCCGACAGTCGCCAATGCTCGCGCCATCTATGGTGCGTTCGCTGGCCTTGTGTGACAACATTTTTGTTTTTGGTTTTTGCATTTTGCACAACTGAATTTGACTTTCACTGTCTCTGCCTGGGACACGGAACGCAGACGTCATCGCGGGGCCAGATGCTCAAGACTCCACCTGCCTGCCCGAAGCGCCGCCACAGGCATCATCCATCGATTTGAAACAGTTGCACGTTGGCATCCCTGTTGTAAGACGTCTGTTTCCTTCTTTGCTCCTCGCTCCGTATGCTGTCAAAATTCTCATCCACTTCCTTCCGCTTCCTCACACCCTTCATAACTCGTGTTAGGACTATCGGATAGCGGAGCTTTCAGAAGAAGCGCTGGCGAGCTGGTCGTGGGCCATCGATCGACTGACTCAGCTGGGAGCCAAAGTAACGCCAGTTCGACTGCCGCAAACCCCGAAAGCGCTTGCAGCCTACTATGTGCTTGCCTGTGCCGAGGTTTCATCAAATCTTGCTCGCTATTCTGGAGTCGAGTATGGTATGTGAAAATTGCGAAACGCGTCCATGTTGAATCAGAGATTTGCAACAATTATTGGCTTCTTGCTGTTGCTGTTGTCGTTGCTCATCGTGTGACTTTGTTTGCAGGACATCGGGCTGAACACCAAGACCAAGCAACCTTCCATCAAATGATTGCGAAATCCCGAGCAGAAGGCTTTGGACCCGAAGTCCAGAGGCGAATCGCCCTTGGCACCCACTGCCTCTCGCGAACGTAAGCCATGGTGGTGCAAGTTTGTGGTGGACCGCGAACTGCATGGGCTAACCATCCTATTCCTATCGTATCGTGCAACAGAATGTACGACAGTTACTATTTGAATGCACAGCGCATCCGGGCGGCCATCCGCGCCGAGTTCGCATCAGTGTTTGAGACAGCGCAGGCCAACTCCGTGCACGTCCTCCTCTGTCCCACCGCACCGTTTGTGGCTCCACAACTCAAAGCTGCGCAGGCGTTGTCCCAAGTTGCGGCGTTTGCCATGGACGTCTTTACTGTTCCTGCCAGTCTTGCCGGATTGCCCGCCATCAGTGTGCCTACTGACGCGTCTGGTCCGCTCGGAGTTCAACTCATTGGGCCCTATGGCCGCGAGGATGTTGTGCTTTCCGTGGCGAGTGCGCTTTCAACGAACGTCAACTTGTAATTTGTAACAATCGAAGTGATGCATTCGGTGCGTTTCAAAAAGCTGCGCACGCACAAACAGGTAATTTCTGAGCACAATATTTAATTCGACTGATGATAGAAAAATGACTGAGGAAACAAAACCCGAAGAAGCGATCAAAACCAATCAAACACAAGCTGTTCTTTCATATGGCTGAAGCAAACTGTTGCAAAAGCGCCAGAACTTGATTTGCCGACTCTGGGGGCTCAAACCGTTCGAAAAGCAAATCTGGGGCGGAGGATTGGAGCCGAATGTGCAGAATGCCAGATCCATTAAGTGAAACTGACAGCACCTCAGCTGCCTCGAAACGTGTCTGCGAGCGTCCAAATGAAGCACAGCAGGGTGAGAGATGGTTTCAGCACCGCACTCACACTCACACATCGTGACATTGCATCCCATACCTTGAGGGTTTTCTTAAGGCGCGCTTTTGCCTTGAAGCACACGGATGAATCCGAGATGAAAAGTTGGCCAGAACCATAGCCGCTCCTTTGCAAAGTGCAAACAAACACTTCAAGCAGCAAATACAGATAGGTCCATGCATCAAAATGTTAGCAAAATGCCCATATAGTTTGGCTTTGGGGAACGAGACTGCTTGTGCTTGTGTGGTGTTGCAAGCATGGAACAAAATAAAAAAACTGACCTTCTGTGAAGCGCGCAGCTTCAGGTAGCTGGAAAGTGTGACGATACTTTTGCTGGTCCGCCTCCGAGTCAGCTACCAGCCGACGAGACGAACTCGGTGAGGAATTCAGGGAAAGGGTCGACTTTGATACGGCGCGGGCATAGGGCTCGGTATTGGGTTGAGCACCCGCGCCACCGTGCTCAGTGTCCGGAGCCGGTTGTGTGATGCTCTCGAGTCGCGCAATTTTCGCATGGACCGCGGAATACTCCTCGGTTAACGAGGCAATTTCTGCCTCAATTCTCTCTCGAGCAGCCTGTTCGTGGATTTGGAAATGCAAGGGGTGAGTCACGGAATCATCCGCAAAAGACCTTCCCGCAAAAAAAAAATACCATCGACACTCACAATTGCGTTGGGAGAGCCCGCAAGATGCGAAGCAGTCAGGTCTTGCAAGGTCGCCCGATGCTGGTCCAATGCCGTTTGAATGGCACCCAACTCTGTCTGCAGGGAAACCAACGACGATCGGCCGCCGCTGGCGGCCTCGCGCAAAGTGGCGGTGATTGGTCCCGCTCCGGCGCGCCCAATGGAAGTTGGTGGGGTGGATTGCGGACCGCGCTTTCGGCGACCGGCGACCTGCGCCGCAATGGAAGCGACCGCGGACAATTTGCGCCTTCCACCCTGCAAATCAACAATGTGCATCTCGCTGATGGGGCCCTGTGCTTGCTGTGCAGACAGCTCCAGACCTTTCGGAACGTGAGACATGGCCGCTGCTTCAGCCAGCATGAAGCGGTGGGCCTGCAGGAAGGTAGCAAAGGTTATTGGGGGGAACCGGTCAGAATACCATCATTGCAACAACACAAAACGGTCCAGCAGATTCATCCAGATTGAAACAAACACTTACGCGAATGGCTTCTCGAATTACGGCAACCCAGGTGGCACACTTGGCTGCACTCTCCACCGAAACCACCAAAAGCCGATCATCCGGGTCGTTTCTAGCGCACAACTCAAAAGATGCTAAAACAAACCCCGCGAGGGTTCGGTGAGTGTTCACCAACTTGTTCACCCACTTGACAAGGAAGGCCAAAACACATCCAAACGAGAACATCAACACGAGAACATCTCCCATACCTCCGTCGTCGGCAATTTCTTGGACATTCACGTCAGCGAGTACAATGGCAGGAATGGCCAACTCGGTCGCCAACATGACTCCATACAGTCCAAACTGCTGGCGAAGCACTAGGAAAGCTCGGTCGAGCAAAACCGCTTGCAGCACCACACCATGTTGCCCGCTCAGGTCAGACCCAAACGTCACGTGTCCGTCGTCCAGCAAAGTACACCCAGGGTCTGTAATGATGGCTGCCTCCGTGTCAGAAACATTCCGGAGCGTCGATTGGATCTCAGCGAGATGTCGAGCACGCTCAGCCTCTCGAACGGAGCCGAAAATTTCGTGAACGGCCTGGCTGATGGCAAGAATCGACTCGGTCATCTCGGAATAGTGAGGTTCGGACGACGCGGACATGGACAGGACTTTTTGCACGACGAGCAGCATGCAACTCAGACCGTACACGGGCAGATGAAGCATGGTTTCCCATGCCAAGCCCATGCTCGACGGGGCTGTGTCGCCTTCGGGGCTAACGCTGGACGCCATCGTGACGACTAGGCGACCAAGGTCGGGTAGAACTGTTCCGTACCCGCGGCCAGCACCACTGACACCGTCGCCGTTCTTGGGACCCCAAGCATGATCCATGGCAATCCGAGCCGCAAAGGCAGGGCCTGATGGCACCCACGTTTGGGAGTCGTGGGAGCCGTCCAGCCGGCGAGCAAGGGGAATGGAGCTGACTTGGTCGACGGCAAGAGCGTAGGTGGACGGGAAATCACGCAAGCGCTGAAAGTGGCTGGACAGCAGCTTTGGCAAAGCCTTTGCGTACAGTACCACTTCCGTCAGAAAATTGCGATGGGTCAACAGACCAGAGGAGATGGTCGAGATAGCCATGGACTCGTGCACGTTGGATGAGGTCGTCATACAGTCAAACATGAATGTGTCCAAGGCGGTCACAATGGAGTCCAGATTGGCCGAGAATGTTGCGCGCTCGGCATCTGGTTGGGAATGCATGAGAGCGGGCAAAGCGATGTCGTGCCAGTGATGAATTTCAGAGGTGAAGGCGTGCATATCAGCAATCCAGGCCTCGACGAGCTGGAAGCGGGCAATCTTGCGCTGCAGCGCGGACTCGGCCACCATGCTGACCAAATCGCGATCCCGCCCGAACGTCGGCATCTCATACTCGGCCAGCGGAGCCGATAGCTTGGCGTCAGCTTTGTGCGACCGGACGAAGCGACGCCTGAGATTGACCATGTTGTGCTCGGCATCGGTCATCTCGATCAAGGCGGACTGCAGCACTGCAAAGAAACGCTTGGTAGTGGATGTGAATGCGCGGCTGAGCTCTGTACCATTCGCGGAAGGTAGCTCCGTGGCAACGTCTTTCATGCCGGTGCTGATTGCTTTTTTGCTGCGAACGAGCATCTCAAGCGTGACTGAGCCAGAAATCTCATCGTCGGAAGAACGTTGTCGCAAAACAAACAGCTCCTGGTGCTTGCTTTCTGGGACGAGCGTGGTAATGTCAATCACCACAAACCCAAGAAAATCATCGCGCGAAAGCTTGTCCCAGTCAAATACCGTCACGCGCAGCAAGCTCGACTCGCCGCACAAAATCGGAAACTCGAACGTCTCGTCCCAGACGGGATTCAGGGTTTCGAGGATGCGCTTTGTTTTGAACTGGTGAGACTCAAACGAGACGAGGCAGTACGGGTCGCTGAGGCCGTTCATGTCCTTGGCTGCAAGCCCTTGTCCAGAAACAACGCGAACAGACAAGAAGCCAACAAAAGAGCCGTTCATGGCACCACGCGCATCCGAGGCACCAACAGCGGCAGCAGCCTGTGCTGGGGTGACTGCTGAAAGATGCGTTCCAGTGGCGGCAGACCAATCCGGTGCAATGACCAGTTTGGAACAGCAGTGCACATCGCGGCCAACCAGCTTGCCAATGCATCGCTTGTGGCAAACGTACGAGCAGAAGCGACAGACAAACGCGCGATCTGAAACCACAAAAGCGCAACGATTGCAGTAAACCGTCTCAAACCCAAACGTATGGGCCAGCCATTCGTGAGGCAATTCGGCACCCGACACGGTCGAGTCTATCACATCTGTCCCAGAGACAGGCGGAATGCCAGGCCTGTTGCTAGGCTTGGTGCTGGCGTCAGCAATGCCAGAGGTTGTGCGGCTAGCAGCTTGAGAGTGCGATGCCGCATAAACACCAGCGGCTGTCACAAGCGCGCCGTGCGAAGCGCCCGAGGCTTGACTGTTTTGTGCATTGGTCACGGTTGTTGTCGTTGTTGTTGTGGCTGCGGATAAGACGGATGAGGCGGCAGAAACGCCCTCCCCAGATTGAGTGACGGCACGAACTGGCGAGGACGACGTTGAAGTGGCCATCGTTGTTGTTGTCGTCGTTGTCGTTGTCGTCGTTGCCGCCAGTGCTCCGGTGCGAGGCATGGCTCCTGCTTCTGCACTGAATAAAATGCTGCGAGTTTTAGCGGCTGCCTCGCCCACAAGGTCAGAATCGCCTCCTTGCGAATGGGACGCATGTGCAAATGGCCCCAGCAGCCATTCTGCCAGACTGCCGCGTATCATGGTGAGATGAGGCATGGTAAGCCGCTCCTTCACCTGCCGATTGATGGCATTTTCGAGCTGAGCAGCAATAAAACGCATTTCTTCGCCGTTCAGCAAAGCAACCACGCTCATCACGAGCTGGGGCTCGTTGAAGAATGCCACTCCAAACTGAGAATCATCCTTTCCTGAGAGCTTCAGGAACAGGCGACCAGAAAGGCGAAGCAAGGTGATGCTGAAGCGGCCGACGACACCGAGAATCGTCTCCACTTCAATCAGGAGGGTGATTTCGCAAGCCATCTGAAAGTCGACGAGCAGATTGCCCGCCAAGACACGCGCGTTGGGCTCGCTCGCTCCTGCTGGTCCGGACGGTGCCGTCTGGCCATCGGCTGGCAGCACTTTGATTGCGGAAACGAGCGGCAACGCGTGCACGACGCGGAGATCGCACAATGCAACCTGGCGCATAAACTTGCCAATGAGCATGGATCGAATGCTGTCAAACTGCCCCACGAGAAGGTCTGTCAGGCGGGCGCGGAGCATCTCAGCCAGCGGGTGGTGGCCGCCGGGTCCGGGTGTCGGATCGAACGCGCCGTCCGTTCCCGCTGTAACTGTGCCACCCGTCGCAAAGGTAGATGCAGGACCGCTATTGGCAGTGGCACTGGCGGCTGAGGCGGCACTGCTCGTGTTGCTGAGCCCGCCCGCACTGTGCAGATTCGCTTCGGTTGCTGCTGCAGGCGTCGACGTCAAAGCAGCTCCGCCAGCACCAACAGTACTAGTACTGGTAGTTGTAGTAGTAGCAGCAGCAAGTTGAGGCGCAATGGCACCAACAACACCAGCAGCAGTGCTGGACAACGACCCCGCCGGCGCTGGCTGGTTGAGCTGCGGGCCGAGCGCTCTTGCTATGATGACGTTGAGCCAGGCGCAGCGCTCGACGACGGCTGTGCGATGGGCTTGGAGCAGCAGGTCGTACTCAATCGCACTGGCATGGGTGAGGCTGAGCTGGGCCTGGCGTCGGCGGTGTCGCTCGGCCTTCTCAGCGAGCAGCGCGTCGGCGTCCTCTGCCGCGACGGGCAGCCTGTAAAAGCGCTGGTAGATGAGCGCAATCAGCGCTGCCTGGATGGTGAACACCAGGAGCGCGCCAAACACAATCCCGACAGAGAACGCGAACAGCATGGATTGGCGGGAACAAGAGGGGGGGGGGAAAGGGGGAGGAAAGGGGGGAATTGGGATTTGGAAAAGGATTGCCGCTCAGTGGAAAAGAGCGACTGAGAAGTCAAGCTGTTGCTGAACGGAATCAAAAAAATATGATGGTAATGGTAGTAAAAATAAAGGACTTGAACTGACCTGGGCGTCTCAGAACGCAAAAAACCACACATTGAACAATGAAAAAACGAGAAGAGTCGCGCCAACAAAAGCCGCTCGGAGGTCTGGATTTGACAAGTGGCGACATGCAGAGATCTGTGTCCATCCACAATCAGCATGCGATATCCTCAGCTGGAATTCGGTACGATGGTGCAAAAGCCATCTCAAAAACAACGAACGCACTGGCAAAACAAACCACGAAAAAGTTGCACGTCGAAAAGCTGTTGCAGTACCGCGCCTTCACGAGTGGTTGTATGGCACACGATCGGGTGCCTGCATTTCAGCAACTCGGTTTGTATTCCGCTGCAGCAACATTGCGGAAATGCATATTAGGCAATCGTGGCAGTGTTCAGTCGCTTTTTTGTTTTTTCTCCTTTTCTTTTTTGTCTTTTTGTTTTTTCTTTTCTTGCTTTTTCCTGCTTTGCCTTTCTGCTTCTTTGTTCTGCTTCTGTTGTGTAAGACACTGGCCCAAATTGAATCGCACTTGTTACTTTGCACGGGTCAATGCTAGAGAAGGGTGTTGTGTGTGTGTGTGTGTGTGACACGACGAGCGGATGCAGCGAAACCCACAAACCCACAAACAAACACAAAAAAAAAAAAGCACAAGCAAGACTCGACACTTCGCCACCGTCATCACAACTGCTCCATGCCAAGCATTGTGCTCCAAAAGAACACTGTTAAACACCGTGCTGAGAACGAAGCTGGTGCAGAGTGAAAGTAGCGGGCGCGTCTTTTGAAACCAACAAATGAGGACAAGACGCGAGCTCGCTGTTTAAAACAAACAAAACAAACAAAAAAAAAACCATAACAATGATCAACAATCCACTGCTTTTGCGGGTGGTCTCGATGCTGGCTCATCGACCTCAGAGAGGGGCGGTATCCCCTCCCAAACAAAAAATTGTGCATGCGTCCGACGACGGGGTGGAGGTTGGGTGGATGTCGCATGACGACGACGGCCGCTGACTGACTCTTGTCGTCAAGATGGTGCCCAGCCATGCTTACCATGCGTAAACGATTGATTCAGGCAGCGCCATTATTTTGATGGTCGCTGGATGATGAAAGACCCTGGTGGGACAATGCAGTCGCAAAGAACTGTGGTCGTGCCTGGCCACACGATGGACTGGTCAGTCTCAACGCTACTCTACCTCTGGCTCATGATTGCTCTTTGTTACCAAATCCCGCAGACGTTGCTCGCTCAAATGGTCACCTCAAGGCCGATGCCGAGCGCGAAACTCGCATTCGGGATGCTTGCGCTCGGGCTGCTCTGCGCAACACATCTGGCGTCCGCTCAAGATGCATGCACCGTCTGCACTTGCAGCAGCAAGAAGCTATACTCATGTCAGTCTTCGCTCACTCAGGTTCCCATCAACATCCCAGCCAATACCATTGACATGTAAGTGCAGCGAGTGATGCGCAAACGCCTACTTTTGAGACCAAACTCATTTTGGCATACGTTCGATCCGCAGCGATTTGTCTGGCACTGCCATTACCAGTTTTACCGCAGCGTCGTTTTTTAATCTGAGCAGTCTGACGTCAATGTAAGCGGAGTCCTTTGATTGCGCCGAGAGATCGTATTTTCGTTCGAAACTCACATGAACGTCATCCGACAGCTCTATCTCAGGAGGACAGGGGCTAACAAGTATCGCCAGCGATGCATTTCAAAACCTGACACAACTGCGGACGATGTAAGTGAAACACAAAAAAAAATCCAATCGATGGGTTTGTTCTGCATTTCGATGACTGTCGCCTTGACGTGTCGACTGCGCAGGCTTCTTTGGCTCGACGGTCGTGTCAACCTTGATTCTTCAAACGCCCCCATCAGCACTTTGTAAGACGAGAAGAATACCCTCCGTTGACGTTTACTATTTTGTCGGTAAGCTCAATCTCAAAGCCGATGAGGGGTTTGTAGGCAGCTATATTATTCCACGCCCGTCGTGCTTTCAGCAAACACATTCACTAATTTCAACAGTCTTACCTATCTGTAAGTGTAACAAGCCCGAGTCACAGAAATGAGCCAGAACACTGTTTAAACTCAGTTGTTTCTACAGATCGTTGCGCGATGCTTCGAGCATGGAGGATCATGCGTTGGCTGGGTTGCCAAGTTTGTTTGAGCTGTAATTGAACCACTTGAACCATTCAGTATGATGTGGCTGGTGTGGCCTTGATTTTAAGCGTACTTATTGATTCTGTTCCAGAGTGCTGACGGGCTCTTTGACATCAGTCGCTGCTGCCGTCCAGGGCGTGAGCCCATTGGAAGATGTTTCCTCCTCTCTCCAAATGCTGTACGTATCGACGCTCACAAAATATGTCCTGAGGGCAACTTGTAATGAATTCACTTATGAACCTGCCAAATAGTACCATTGCTGAGTCAAACGTTGCAAGTATTTCAGATGTCGGATTCAACAGTTTGACGAAACTAAAGCAACTGTAAGCGAACCTGTCGTGTGCTACCAGCGGTTTGCAACCGTGGGGGGGGGGTGGCGCTCGAACTGACTGATGCTCCGTTGCATGGGTTGTAGGGTTATTCAAACCAGTAGAATCACCAGCATTTCGAGCAACGCGTTTGCTGCCCTGACCTCTCTCACCTCTCTGTAAGCCTCGTACGTGTCTGACATCCAGAGAGCCGTCACACTCATGTCAGCAAACACTGCACAGCACCCTGAACAGCAACCCAATCACGAGTATTCATGCTGATGCCTTCGCTGGGATCACCAGGCTCCAAGCATTGTAAGGGATATTTTTATTGCGTGCGCAAACGCTACCAATGCCCACATACATGCCTGTTCGAGACAGATCTCTTCAAAACACCCCCTTGACAACACTACCACCAGGCTTGCTCTACGGCCTCTCGAGCCTCAATGTAGCAAATTTTGTTTCAAACAACTTCTCCTTTGGCGGGAACACGGTCCCGCCACCCAGCACCTTTGGAAATGTCGGCAATCCACAAAGTAAGTGTCGTTTCCGACTATGGTTGTCATTTCTGCGTACTTCCTTTTTTGCCAACCTTCTCACTTTTTGTTGGGACAGAGTGTGATTCGGTTTGCAAAACATGCTCGGCGTCGTCCTCGTGCTGTGGGGAAGGCTGCTTGTATTGCAGCTTCGGTAATCCTTGTACACAATGCTACAATGGCTACATCATGCAAAGTACATTTTGCTTGAGTCCTGAAGCGTTCATGGCCTCTGCATCGTCCGACTCGGCGTCGGTAGCTTCAATCACGTCAGTCTCTTACATGAAGATAGCAAACTCAGTCGCCTCTGCCGTGTCTGTCTCGACAAATTCGATTGCCTCTGCTGAGTCTGTCGCTTCAGTCAAGTCTGCAGCTAGTGTCTCGGTTTCTTCTGCTTCTATTCAATCCTCCATCTCGGCAAAGTCTGCTGTTTCGGCTCGATCAATTGCCTCCATCAAGTCAGTCACGACTGCTCAGCCTGTTACGTCGGCTGCAACAGATATTTCGGCTGGGAGCGGCTCTGTTGCGTCGGCGACGTCCAGCCTTTCCACTATGAGCGTGTCTGCGACAAGGAATGTGGCCGCATCCAACGCGCCCACAGGCGACGACGAGAGCTTGTCGGTCCTTCCCATCATTGTCGGAGCTCTTGGTGGAGTTTTGCTTTTGGCACTGATTGCTATTGGTATCTTGATTCGCCGTCACCGCGCCTCGCGACCCACAAACCAGCCAGCTTCCCAGGATCTGCACGTCAAGCTCAACAACCCTGTGTATGACCAAAAGCCGTCCACCGATTCTCTTTGGTACTCTGGTGTTGTGACACCCTCATCAAATGACGCCAGTACCGGAAGTGTGTACGAAACCATTCCACCTGTTGACAAAACTTACGCGGAGCTGTCCCTTGCTTCTGGCACGAGTACTCGGCCTTTTACCCGCGTAGATGTGGTCTACGCAGAGCCGTTGGTTACGCCCACGAACACGAACGATTGATGGGTGTTATGATTTGGCTTTCAAGGCTCTGGTGTTGTTTTCCGTTCTTTTTCAAGCGGTCACCGAGTGGTATTCAAGTGTTTTCATGTGTTATCCAAGTGTTTTCCGACAAGACTTTTGGGATCATGTTCCCTTGTTATGGCGTTGTGTGTACTGTTTCCAGGCGTGTTGTCACACCTTTGTCGTGTTTCCTGATCCTGCTGACCTGTCTCGGGAGCCGGCTGTGATACTCCCATTGATTGATCCAAGGGTTTTCGAGTGTTGGTGCAAGTGTTTTCGAGTGTTGGTGCAAGTGTTTTCCAGTGTTGGTGCAAGTGTTTGCAAGTGTTGACAATTGTTCAGTCCTCTCGTACTTGCACACTATCTCATATTTCCAAAGCTTGATATATGCTAAAGAATTTATTCCTTTATCATGTTTCTTGTTGTAAATGGCCCGCTGAGTGGATCGTTAGACACTTTGAAACCGAGAAAACCACGAGTCCGTCCAAACACCAACCAAAAACCCAATGCGTTCTGGATTTGGCAAGTGGCGACATGCAGGGTCCGTGTCCGTCCACAATCAGCATGCGATATCCTCGGCTGGAATTCGGTACGATGGTGCAAAAGCCATCTCAAAAACAACGAACGCACTGGCAAAACAAACCACGAAAAAGTTGCACGTCGAAAAGCTGTTGCAGTACCGCGCCTTCGCGAGCAGTTGTATGGCACACGATCGGGTGCCTGCATTTCAGCAACTCGGTTTGTATTCCGCTGCAGCAACATCGCGGAAATGCATATTCGGCAATCGTGGCAGTGTTCAGTCGCTTTTTTGTTTTTTCTCCTTTTCTTTTTTGTCTTTTGTTTTTTTTTTTTTTTTTCCTTGCTTTTTTCTGCTTTGCCTTTCTGCTTCTTTGTTCTGCTTCTGTTCTGTAAGTCGCAGATCTCCTTTTGAATCGCACTTGTTACTTTGCACGGGTCAATGCTAGAGAAGGGTGTTGTGTGTGTGTGTGTGTGTGTGTGACACGACGAGCGGATGCAGCGAAACCCACAAACCCACAATCAAACACAAAAAAACAAAGCACGAGCAAGACTCGACACTTCGCCACAACTGCGCCATGCCAAGCATTGTGCTCTAAGAAAGACCATAACAGACCACTCTTGACCACCGTGATGAAACCGAAGCCGCTTGCAGAGTGCAACGCGGGAATATGACGCGATCGTCGTTAAACAAAAAACAAAACAAAACAATCCTCAACAAAAACGAACACAACAAACAAAACAATGGACTCTGTTTTTTTTGTTTTGTTTCTGTTTTGTTTCCTTTTTTTTTTGT